TTAAAACCCCCGTCCGTATGAAAATCCACTGTCTTTCTCTGTATCCTACAGCATTTTCACAGTACTATACGGTATATTTACAGTATGCTACGGTATGTTAGCTCTTTATATACAGTAAATCTCTGTATGCCACTTTATGTATCCCCAGCATGCCATAGTTACATACAGTAACGCCTACAGTATGCCACTGTATGGCTACTATTTCTTATAGACAACTACGGTAAACCACAGTATATGCCCGAGTACGCCCCTGTTTATGTTCTTTGAAGCAAAAAAGAAGTTTACACACTCCCAGAGCACTGTAAGGTTGCCTAAGATGTGGGATTATCAATTAAGTACACAGAGTTACTTACCTAAGTTATTTGAACATTATTTTAAACACATATTGTATTATTTAAAAATTTTTAGGAAACTTATTGTGTTTTTTTATAACTCTGAAATAACTATGAAAAAATAATAAATCATTGCTTCAAAGAATATTTATCTATACATTTAAAAAAAATAAATTATTATTTTGTTTGATTTATTAGTTAATTAATTAATTTATTTATTTTGCGAACACTTATTTAATTCTTAAAATACTTGGAGTGACTTTGTAACTTATGTGAAAAAAAACAAAATACAGCCGGGGTAATTCTTGTTTGTTTTTTTTTAACTTATTGATGTTCGTAAAAAAAAATTAATCTAATTAATTGCATGTAATCAATCATTGCATAATTTTTTTTTATTATTTCAAAATTGAATATACAAACAAAATCATTAATTGTATTCCCGAAAGTTGGATTTATTTGGCTAATTTTATGTAAAAAAAATTTACGATAAAATGTGTTTCGAAGTCTTTTTGAAGCATATTTAAACTACTTTTAAATATTTTACTTTCGTGTTGGCAATCAAAATAATCGTCTCATTATGCACAATGTTAACCCGTCAATAGCTTTTTGAAAATTTTATTTTGTTTTGGTTGACAAAAATCGGTTCTCATACAAAGAAAATTTTTTATTTCAAGCAGCTGCAGAGTGGACACGGTCACTCTCTGTCACAAAATAAACAAGCTATAGTGATCAGTGAAAAAGACAATAGGTGGCATTACCGTGTACCCCGTGTCACTGGTAAACAGTCAATGGCTTTGAAGTTCTTTCATACTCGTGTTAGGGTTTTGAAAACCGATTTTTTTTTCACTCAAATCAATGTAAAAATACGAAATCACAATTGACAAATTAAAATTGTGCATAATCTAACGATTATTTTGATATCCATCATGGACGTAAAATAATTGATATTCGCTTTAATATGCTAAACAAATACTTTGTAACATAGTTTAGGATAAAAATAGAAATACAAAAAAACCTTAAAAATTTAACTTTGGTGGATATAAAATTAATACGTAATTGATTATTTTGTTGTATTGTCAATTTAAAAAATTTAATTAAAGAGTTTGACATTTTTATGGTGATAAATTAATTATTTATTTTATTTTTTACCATTTATTTATTTCTCTAACACCTATTTAATCCATAAAATACTTTGAATGGTTTTACCAATTCTGTTGAAAAAAAAAATTATGCCTTCCATATGATAATAGTGCAAATTTAAAACCAAGTTTCCCGCAGCTCTGTTATTTTTCAGATTGAATGAAAACCAAGAATGATTATTGTTGTAAATATGTCATTTATTAATGACACAAATGAAACACATGAAATTTGGGAGATCCTATGACTTTCTACAATTTGTATCTACACCTTGTTATGGATCTCCCACAACTTAAAATAACATCATGCCAATACTCAAAAAACACAAATATATCAAACATTTAAGCTGAAAAATAAGGTGGCAACAAACAATAGGCCACGAGACAGAACAAATTATCAAAATACATCCCAAAGTAAAGTTTAACCTTAGGGACGGTTGTACGGGGAGGTGGAGGGTATGTTTTTCTACAAAAAATGGTGTGTACAAACACTTGCAACATCCACCAGCGATAACAATCACGTGATATATCCGACGTGAGCTCATGACTAATCAACGCAAATCCCCAAAACCTGAGACTATGCATTACATAACGTCCTAGCTCTGAAACCTGATATATACATGAAATATACTACAATCACTACATTCTAACCACAGAAAATGGTAAATTACATATGTATGCATAAAACATATTATTGTTAATAATATTACATTATGCCTTCCATATGATAATAGTGCAAATTTAAAACCAAATTTCCCGCAGCTCTATTATTTTTGAGATTGAATGAAAACCAAGAATGAGTATTGTTGTAAATATGTCATTTATTAATGACACAAATGAAACACATGAAATTTGGGAGATTATATGACTTTCTACAATTTGTTTCTACACCTTGTTATAGTTCTCCCACAACTTTAAAATAACACCATGACAATACTCAAAAAACACAAATATATCAAACATTTAAGCTGAAAAATAAGGTGGCAACAAACAATAGGCCACCAAAAATCCAACGACATTGGATTTTCCGCCACCCAAGGGAAACAACCCACGTACATGGACAACATAGGAGAAAAACCATGATAATCTTAATATAATATGTTTAAGAAAAGATTCTCGCTCTGAATAATAAATGATGGCCAGCAAACCCCTGTAACTTACCACATTTTAATTGCATTGTTACAACGCGAAATGTAATAACAACGTGAAATGTAATAACCCTAGATTATTACGTTTTGCATTATTACATTTTGCGTCGAGATCATCGCAAAATATAATAACGCAAAATGTAATTACACAATTTTTAGATTATTACATTTTGCGTTATAACATTTTGCGTCGAGATCAACGCAAAATGTAATAATGTACTTTTTCGTTGTTACATTTTGCGTTATTTTATTTTTGCACTGAAGACAACGCGAAATGTAATAATACAATATGTAATAAAACAAAATACAATTATTCTTTTTGATTGCGCTTTACAAAAAAATCATAAAATTTATTCAAAATCACTGGGGGGCGCACGCCCCCCCCTCCTAAAATTTTCAATGTATATGATGTGACTAATATTTATAAAAACACATTTTGATACAAAACTAATCAAATAAGTGTTATTCTGTCTGGTTTTATTCTTAAAATACACAAAAATCCAGGAGCTTCCGGTGGCTGCGCACCCTGGGCCCCCACTATTCAAAGTATGACATGACTATAGTATTAAACACGTCGTAGTTTGGTACATCACTAACCAATACCACTATTAGTAAGTAATAAGTAAGTAAATCGTTTATTAAATAGTGGCATGTGTTAAAATACAATGTGAATTGAGAAACATTCAATACATTTATTATTTAAACATCTGGACCTATATGCTATTTACTTTTACGAAAAATAATTGAAAAAATATGCACTATTATAAATAATTGTGCCTGGTTTTACTCTAAAATACACGAAAACCAATGAGCTTCCGGGGCTTTCGCCCCCTGGGCCACCACCTATATGCTATATACTTTTAACAAAAATTATTGAAAAATATGAACTACTATTGTGCCTGATTTTACTCTAAAATACACGAAAACACAGGAGATTCCGGGGGCTTCGCCCCTGGACCCACTGGGAGTCTTCCTCTTGCCTCAAAAAAGTTATCCACGCCCCCCACCACCACAAATCCTGAATCCGCCCCTGAAAATATACATAAAAACAACATGAGAGACACGCTGTACAAAATATTTAGAACTTAAACAATGAGACCAACGTTAGGGTTTTTACGGACATAAATACATCAAAATGTATCGTTTTTCTGACTCTGACTTCAGTTATATTGAATACACTTGCTAAATTTAAAGCATTAATTAAACTTTGATTGGCATATTTTTGATAGTCTTATTAAGTTTCTAGCCAATAACACAAAATTTATTTAATTACCAAAGATTGACCACAGGTTCATTATTAGCTCTGGATATGATGTTTGGCATGTGGGAGGGCAGGGATAGAGTAGAGTGTTTACTTAGTATGTTTATCATGGTATTACTTTGGACATGCAGAATCAATCCATTATATTATGAGATGGAGAGAAGAAGAGTGGGTTGTTTTTGGATGTTTCCAATGCTGGTGATTTTCATGGAACAGTATGGTATCACAATTGTCAATAAACCCATTCCTATATATATTTACACCTGCTAGTACAAATAAATAGGTTTTCTTTTAGATTCATTGCATTTGTCTATATAAAAAAAAAAAAGTTCACTGGTCAATATCCCAACAATCCCATCTCCAAACGCGTGTTTCTAATTTGCAACACCTTTATGACAATGATTTTAAATACATGTAGGTTATTAAGTCAATATACATGTATTATGAAATTCATTAATTGTAAGAAATTGCATAGATCTATATCTGTTTTTTTTTTACCCTTTTGTTCTATTTTTTCTTCATCGGCTACTTCTCTATTAATAATTGTACTCAATCTGGCTGACCAAAGAGTGTGTTATTACATTTAGCGTTCTTTATTTTATAAAATTATTTTATGGTAATGAATTTGCATATAATATAATGCATGAAATACTTTATGATCTTTGAAAGTTATGAGGAAAATGCAATTATTTCCCTGAGCAGAATATTCAGTGTTTTATGGTATAATGTATGTGTATGTGTGTTTGTTTGTGAATTATTTGTTAAATATTTGATTTACAGAACCTTTTGTTTGTTATTGAACAACATGACCTGGTTAAAATACATTGGTGAATTGAACCCTGAACTTCTCGTTGTTATTTAAAACCAACGTTTACAAATGGCGCCCATGTAGGGACAAATGGCGCCCATGTACCTTGGACATCACCAATAGCCACTACGCAGTGACGTTTCTGGGGGCGGGAAGTGATCACGTGCCTGTTGATCCGCCACTACATAGAGGGACATTAAATATCATCGGGTTCGAACTACAGAATTTTCCAACCATCATGGCTTCCATTTACATGTGTCGGTAAAATTGTTTAATTTTTTATTTATTATATTTTTTATTTTATTATTATTGCAGACAAACATGCACCCTGGAAAAAAAGGCGAAAACATAAAAATAGTGTACCATACATGAACTGTGAATTAAGAAGGGCTATTTATAAAAAGCAAATGCTGAAAAACAAGTTTGACAAGTGTAAGACAGATGATAATTGGGAAGAGTTTAGGAAACAGAGGAATTATGTTACAAAACTGAAAAGGGTATCAATAAGAAACTATTTTCAAGAACGATGTGTAGGGGGACAAAAAAGTTCAGATTTTTGGAAACGATTAAACCATTCTTATCGAATAAATCAAAGTCTGCAGAAAATACAATTCTTTTATGTGAAAATGACAAGATTTTAAATGACCCAATAGAAACTTGCAACACTTTTAATGAATTTTACTAATGTGGCTAGTGAAATAGGGAAAGATGTAGTTTTTAATGAAAAAAATCATTTAGTCTAAATGCCATGGGGAAAAATTTTTGCTTTTCCCGGACATTTGTTAAAAAACTAATGAAGAAGAAGTGACCAGACTAATAAACAAATTAAATGTTAAGAAATCCACTTTTAATACAATTCGCTAAACTTCTGAAATTTGGAGCACCTGTTTTGAGTAAACATATTTTATTCTTGTTAACCAATCCAACAAAAATTTTTCCTATAGACTGAAACAAGCTCAGGTCATTCCTTTATACAAAAAAGAAGACCCTCTGTTAAAAAGTAATTATAGACCTGTTAGTATTTTACCAACCGTGTCAAAGGTTTTTGAAAAGGTTTTATGTGTTCAACTTTCTGACTATTTTGTTTATTTTTAACAACCATTTTGTGATTTAGAAAAGGTCATGGGTGCCAAACTACACTACTCGACTCCTTGAAGACTGGAAAATGGCTTTAGATCAGAACTTACATGTTGCTGCTATTTTAATGGACCTCTCTAAGGCTTTTGATTGCTTGCCACATGACATACTATTAAGTAAACTCTCAGCTTATGGTTTATCTCCAAACTCTGTATCCATTCTAGGAAGCTACTTGTCTGAGCGCTTTCAGCAAGTAAAACTTCAGGGAGTTGTCAGTAGTTGGGTTGGTTTTAAAAAAGGGATACCACAAGGTTCCATCCTTGGACCACTACTTTTCAATGTTTTTATTAATGACATTTTTTATTTTATTAAGAATGGTCTTATATAATTATGCAGATGATAATACTTTAGCATATAAAAGGGTTTTGACACTTTGATAAATACTTTACAAGATGAAATTTCTGTATTATTGAAATGGTTTAAAGAAAACTGTATGCAAGCCAATCCATCTAAATTTCAGGCAGTTGCCTTGGGTAAGAAAACTTTTGATAAGAACCCTGTATTTAAAATTGATGGTGCAGAGATTTTTTTAATGAGACTGTCAAATTATTGGGAATTGATATTGATTTTATGCTCAAATGTGATGTCCATATTAGTAATATCTGTAAAAAAGCTCTAACAATTAAACGTGTTAAAACGCATTGGCTCAATATTAACACGGGTAAACAAAATTACAATATTTTATAGTTTTATTTTGTCAAATTTTAATTTCTGTCCTCTTGTATGGCATTTCTGCTCCAAGAAAAATACCAGGAAAATTGAGAAAATTCAAGAAAGGGGTTTACGTTTTATTTATAAGATTTTGGGGAGTAGCTATGAATCATTACTACTTAAGGCAAAATTACCATCATTAGAGATTAGAAGAATGCGTAACATGGCTCTGGAATGTTTTAAAATTTTACATGACCTTTCTCCTAGATGTCTGTCAGACGTGAGTTTTAAGAAAGTGACATACAATTTTAGATATTCTAACATTTTAGAAATACCAAAAGTGAGAACTACATCATATGGCAAAATGTCTTTTAGATATGCAGCACCCGTTTTATGGAACTCCTTACCTGAACATTTTAAATGTCAAACCAATTTTTTACAGTTTAAATCTTTGATTGCCTCTTGGAGCGGTAAGGACTGTGGGTGTACAGCCTGCTCCACTAGGTAAGTTGTGTCTTTTTGTTTGTGTGTCTGTGCATGTCTGTTTTGTTCTTTTATGTTTCTGTCGATGTACTGTTTGTATTTTAAATTTTTTACTTATGTATGTATACCTGTGCTTTCTCTATGCATCTGTACTTTTTTCTATGTGTCTGTGCATGTGTGTTTTTATATGTATTTTTTATAAACTAATGATGTCCTTTAAATTAGACTGTGTGCTGTATTGTTGCAAGTAATTCTATGTTTATATAGTGCTGCATGTTTTCATTGTTTTACTGTTATGTATATGTTAATCATGTCAGTCAAAAGCTCAGTAGAGCTTGTGTTTCTTTTTAAACTACCATACTGACTTTAAATAAAGCTTATCTTATCTTATCTTATTTGAATTTAAATTGTTCGTACTTCGCGTTAATTGTGCATTTTGACGTTGCCATTCGAAGATTACAACTACAGCTTGAGAGGTTTGATATTTAGTTTAGAAATTCTCAGTTAAGAGATTGGATTAGAACTATGTAGTTGAATTAGATTTAAATCACAATTTTTTTTTCAGATAATTCTTATAATTCTTTTTCAGTTTTGGTTAAGTTAGTTGATTAGATATTTATTTATCATTAGATTAGTATCCTAGTTAATATTAGCAATTAAGAACTAGTATATTGGTTTATAAGTACGTTACAAGAAATCATCAAATATGTCAGCTAAATTACTACGGATGAACTTGAAAACATCGCAAAGGCATTCAAGGATTTAAAAGTCAAACCGAAAGCCGACACTACTCAGGACTTTACAGACTGGATGATAAGCTACGTTACAAACATGTGACCCTCTAAAACCCTAACCCTGTGAAAACAGAGACAGATAGTACCACAACTCAACAGGGACAACATCCACCACCAAAACAACAACAAATTATGTTCCAAAAATTACAGTGTTCATGGGAGATGGTAGGAAGGAAGACAAATACACATATGGCATTATGAGGTGGAATGCCTGATAAAAATACAATACAGTGAAGCAACAATAGCGCAAGCCATTAGACGAT